TATTCTATTCTATTCTATTCTATTCTATTCTATTCTATTCTATTCTATTCTATTCTATTCTATTCTATTCCTGTTCTGTTCTATTCCTTTTTGCTTTTAATGTTATTTAATTTTTCTATTGCATTAATACTAACACAAAGGAAAATACTATGCTTCCAGGATTGGCATACGTTTCATCCTATTTAGGGGCTGTTTGGTAGAATGAAAAGGCTTGAGATCCAAAAAAAAAAAAACTTTCAGCCAGAGACCACAAGAAGTCACAGGAAGTAAAGCAACAGGGAGTTTTCACAAACCACCAGAGAACTCAGTGGTTCATTCAGTGGCACCCCTTGGGAAACGTAAGATTTCCCCTAAAGTGTCTTCTATATATGTACGTATTTCCTTATAATTATCCCACCTTTCCTTTAAGGGCCCCCAAACAGCAATCATTTTATCCTCACAACCACAACCTTGTGAAGTAGGCTGATAGAAGAGAAAGGGGCTGGTGGAAAGCCACCCGGGGAGTTCTAGGGTCAAGGGAGGATGTGCGCCTCGGTCTCCTTACTTCCAGGCCAACGTGAACTCCTACACCGGTTCGCACACACTGCATGACTCTTTCATCCTCAGGAAAGTTGGTTGAGGTAGGATGCAGGAAGTAAAGTTTGGGTCCCAAGCCCCCCTAGTAAATCTGTGGTAGAGTGGAGATGTTATTCTGTCCTCCCCGCAAAAGAAAATAGTATAAATGTTCACGACCAGGAGCTTTCCCCAATCCTTCAACCACGTTAAGCTATAAAAAGGATTGGAACCCGCAGGCACAGCTGCCATCTGCTCTGCTGGTTGGAGGTGATGGGAGCTGGCATGTTGAGAGGGCTTCGACTGGGGTAAGCTGGACCTGGCCTCACTTCATCAGGTGCACCAGGTAGGTGCCCTGGATCAGGTAAAAAATTAAGATGGCAGCCGTGCCTGTGCATTCGAAGCCGAATCCTTTCTCAGCAATGAGGAAAAAGCAAGGAAAAGCAAGAGGATGCTAATTATACATTTAATTGAAAGTGGTCCGGATGGGCATGAGGCTAACACTAGGAAGCAAGGGCATCTACGGGGGAGTCAAAAAAGTCAAGAGGGCAGTTGCACGTGAACAAGGCGGCAGAGTTTTGATTGTGCCGTCTTGACTTTTCTCACACACACACACACACACACACACACACACACAGAGTAACTCCAGCCTCAGAGACACAAATACATAGGAGATGTAAAGCCAGACCAGTAAAGGGATGTTTTAATTTAGCTGTGACTGGAGACTTGTGAGATTATCACCTTGAACCGAAAGGAACAAAAAGTGTAAATGCTTGGATTCAGGATCAGTGACGTGCAGAAAAGCACAGTCTGCAACAACTTAATTTAGGCTTAAATTTGTGCAAAAAATGACCCTTCACAGCAGCAGTAACTGATCTTTGAACTCTAATTTGTTACAGACCATCCTTTTTTGCATTCCACCCTCATTCTGCTCTAAACTTTCCCAGTTTTTTGTTGCTATTACTGTTTTTCAGTTTACAGCTAATCCCTGCATCCCACTTCAAGCATTTAATGAAATG